TATGTATTAAAGGAATAGAATATTTAATTACTTTTTAGATATATATTTGGATGATATATCTAATGTATCAGTAAACAAAAAGATTTATTTAAAGATTTATTCTAATGAAATATTAATAAATAGAAAAATTGTATATGTGATAAACAAATTTTATGGTTATACAAGATTCAGTGATATTGCAATTGCAATGAATGATACAGATTATTTAATCAATAATAGATTATGTTATGGCAAGGCAAATATTTACAATATATATTTATAAGATATTTTTTAAATTTAACTAAAAAAAAACTATTAATATCTTAATTTTTACAGGTATTAATGCTAGTTGAAGTCTTATTTCTATCTAATTGTTCTTTTTGATCTTTTATCTTAATACATTAGTATGATTATCATTCTAAACAGAATCTATTAATATATGAATGTCTATATATAAAGTTTATAAATCACTATGATTTAATTTTTTTGTATTTATTGCTGGTTTAATACATATAGTAAAACGCTTTGATTTTAATAATGAATTTTTTGTAAATAAGTTTATTTTTTAATAATTTTGCACCTTTTATAGAAAATTTGTTATGTATTAAATTCTTAATGAATAGTAAAAAGTAGTCTTATAAAATAATAATATATGCACATTCATAGTTATAATCGAAAAAAAATATACATACTTTAGTCTTATTTGATTTGCTAACTATGATACGTGTATTAATATTTAATATATTAATTTTAATTATAAAATACAGAATTCAATACTTTGATTTTTGATTTTAAAAATTGAAATTTATAAAAAAAAATCCTTAAGATTTTTCTTTAAAGATATTTAAGAAATCTGATATTTATAAAAATCTAAAAGATTTTTGAGATTTGTTAAAGAATTTTTAGAGATTTCATAAAATCACAAATCTTTGAGGATTTTTAGAAATTTATAGAATCCTTATGAATCTAAGACTTCAGAATATTACTGATAAAAATCTTTTTTTTAATTTAATTAAATTTTTATTTCTAAATTAATAATTTCTAAATCTTTTTGTTGAATATATTTAATTATGTTTTCAATGTTATTTCATGTAACTATTATTGAGATTTTATATTGCTTCTCTTTCTCTTTAATTTTCTTTTTATTTGTTCTCTTTATGACTTCAACAATTTCTTGTAATAATAATTCTTTTTTAGCAGATACTTTATCATTAATATTAATTATTTATAATTAAAAGATTTGTGAATTCTAACTCATTAATTAATGATTATAATTTATATTTAATATTATCTTTTTCATAATTAGAATTATTTGAATATTCAGAATCTTTTATATTATTATTGAAAAAAATTTTAGCTTTAGTCTAACTGCTAAAAATTATTTTTTTAGATATTTTTTTTAAGCATTAACAATTAAATTGATTAAATTAAAAATATCAATTAAAGGTAAAATAGAGTCTCTTTCTTTATAAAAATTATAAGTTTGAATATAATTTTATATAACAATTTGTGATATTATACTTTTAAATTATAAATAATACCTTAATCTAATGATTGAAGATATGATGTTATATTTGATGGTAAAAAATGAACCTTAATATTTGAAAGACTATTAATATTCTCAGATTCATAATATCTAACATTATCTATTAGTAAAATAATATGCTGATTTTCTCTAAGTATTTTAAAATTTAATCTTTTAAGATAATATTTGAAAATACTTTTTTGTATCTAAACTTTAAAATTCTAATAATACCAAATAATAAGAGATTTTTTTTAATTTCTATAAATATATGTGATATTTTATATTTATGAAAACTAAAGGCAATCTTTCATTATTAGAAGTATTATAAATTGCCAAAATACTAATATATTTTTTAAGACATTTTTTACCAAGTATAGGATTATGTATTATTATTTTAGATAGTTCTAAATATTAAAAAAGAGCAATTTTATCACAGTTTCAAATATCTTTTAGTTTATATTCTTGAAAATTTTTTTATAATTCAGCTCTCATTTATAAAAGTTCATCATAAAAGCATTATTAGCTTCTCTTTTTTTATATATATGCAAATTATTTCTTTATTTAAAGTTACTTAACTATCCTACAAATACTAAAAAGTTAGTAATATTAAGTAAGTTGGTATATTTTACTACTTTTTGTTAGATAATAGGTTTATTAATAGTTAAATTTCTTGATATTTATTAATTAATCCAAATTTTCATTGCTTTTTATAGTTGTGGATAAATACTAGAAAATTATTTGCATTTAGTAAAGTAATATTAATAAAAAGCAAATGTTCTGATCTTTTTAAAATATCAGAAATTGTTTAATAAAAATTCTATATTATACTGTTAATTAAACACTACTAAGTTTTTGATCTCTTTGTTTTTTATAAGTTCTTTCTTTGAGCTAATGTTAAAGATTTCTTCTTTTTATTATTTGTTTTTCTTATGTTAAAGTAGAAAAAGTAAAAAAAATTGTTTGTCTAATTAACAAATGATTAATATAATTATTTTAGACTCTGAAAAAACTAATACATTATATCAAGACTTTTTAATTATAGTTGATCTAGAATAAAATCTGATTTACAAAATTATTGAGATTTTACTAATAAAGTTTGATATATCAAGACTGTTTTAATATAGATGAATTGATTCTAAAAAAAAAATCTGAAATAGTGCTAAATCCAGTTTATTGAGAATCTGATTTATCAAAATTGCCTATATATTCTCTTTAAATACACATATTATATATTTTTTTTTAAATACACATTCTTATTTAATCTTAAATATATAGAAATTTTATAAAAATTTTTTTAAATGCATATTCTTTTTAAATACATATTTTTTAAAATTTTTACTATAGTTCTAAATGTATGTATTTAGAAAAAGCTGATTACTAAAGAAATAAATAGCATTTATTTGTTATTATATTTTTAAAATAATTAAATTTACAAATGTAGATATATTATTAACTATAATTCAAATATGTGATTAATTTAAGCTGAAACTATAGTTTTATCTTTAAATAAAAAACTAGAGATCATTTAATTTAAAGACTAAATCAGCAGTTTTTGAATCAAATTGAATTGAATCAAACTGATAACATTTCTAGTTGATAATGAGGTATCCAATTTTTCTTAAAATAGTTTTTATATGAAATATTAACTACTGTTTAAAATTGTTTATAACTTTCTCATTTACATTCTATTCTTGTATTAGTATATGTGAAACATTATTCAAATATCTTTTAATGATAATATTTTTTTTAAGAAAAGAATCAATCATTTTGATAGTGATCAGTAATGATCTAAACATACTTATAAGGCTTATTGAATGGATTTTAGTTTATATAATTTGAAGTCTGATAAAAGAAAGGCAATAAAATACATTCTGAATCAGATTATAATGAAATAATTGATAAATTAACAGTCTATTAACTTTTTAACATTTTGAATTTATACAGGAACTCTATAGTAAATTAAATTGGAAAAAGAGATTTAAAAACATAAAACATTAAAGTAATTGTAATGTCCTCAAAGCTAACAATACACAGTCATCCCATTGGAAATTCGACGACATCAAAGGTTTTGAGCACCCATAATTTAAATCTTTCGTTAAATTATTGAGTGGCAAATGAAATTTAAACAAGATAACGTGGCTCATTTTAATTCTTTCAAAATAATTGGAAAGAAGTGAATTTAAATTAAATTGCAACAGAATACGCTTTGTTTTTGCTTTAGTGAATCATTATTAAAAAAGTTTTGATATTTGTATATAATTTAAAGAAGATACTAAAAACAACACCGCTAACTTTTTTTTAATCTAAAGGATTTCTATCCTTTAAACCTTTCAATGTCGTGGCTCAACATGTATTATTTAATACGTTCTTATTTTTTTTATGTTTTCGTCAAATAATGGTGGCTATGTGCCGATGATCCGTGTTTCTTTTTAAAAAAGAATGTGGCTTACATCAAATTTCATCATGGCATTCGAATCGTGAGAAATTACAAATTTTTTTTACGATATATTCAAACAAATCCTTTTTACACAGCCAGGAATGTGGTTTAAGAAAAAAAAAATTTTTTTTGACTACATAAAAAATATATGCACAAATTGTGCGAAATTCCTATAAAAATTTGTTCAAATCACCTGCACATAAAAAGAGAAACGAAAATTAATCATGGCTTCAATAACAAACTTTTTAAAAAAAATTTCTTCTTTAACCGTCGTAAGAACAATTCTCCTGATTTTACTCACTTCTTCGGTTAGTTCTTATGTATCCGATTCACACGTTTTTAAAATTAGTCGAGACGGTGAAGTGAAACTTGATTGTAATTTTAATTGTATTATAGAAACAATACTTCTTTGCATTTTTCTTTTATTTTTCTTTATCTTTATTATAATAGTGTTATATGATTGTTATTATAGGAAAAAACATAAACATAGTAAGGTTAAAGATTTGGAATCTTTAAAATCAAATATTAATTAATTATGTGAAAATTTTTTATTACTTATATTTTCTCAATTATCACAACATTAGAGGAAATAATTTAAATCTTTTACTAATAGAAAGCGTCGAGGGATTAAAGATTTGAATTGAAAATTTGCTACTAGAAGTTGATTTTTAAATAACAAATTCGGGGTTCGCTTTGTAAATTTGGGCGTTAAAGATCAAAGAAAGTTGACGTAATGTTTGAAATCATATTATCATGAAAGTAAATCTCTAAGGATTGTAATGGCTTACACAAGCAATTCTTGTAGTGGATGACTAGAACTTCAAGAGTTGTATTTTTTCAATTATAAAATAATTTGATCATTGAATTTTAAAATTTCAACACGTTTGTTAAATTTACTTTTCGCGCTGACTTTAAATATGTAACGTTGATTTAAATAATGTCTCCAACTAATAAATTATTCGATGATTTTGAGTTAAACTATTTATCATCAACCCATCATTCTATAAAATTATACTTCAATCCAAAATTATATTAAACCTCTTTCTTTCCGATAAAAGAATGAATAAACAAAGCTGTCTGAAAGAACATTACTTTGAAAAATTCTTATATGGAAGTGGAAACGATCATATTTCCATGCCTATCTCTTCACATCAAGAACCACAAATTAATAGCCATGAATTTACAAATTATCGCAAGGCACTTTCTTTACTAATTAATGAAAATCCAGATTTTTCGTCTCTTAATAAAACTCAATTGATGGAAAATGTACCCGAAAATTATGATTGGATTGGAAATGGAAGCAACGAAATTGACAGTGGTATTGTTCCTTCAATTATTGATTCGATTATCGAGAAAGAAGTTAATAAAAGACTTCAGCAATCAGTGAGTAATATTGAGATTTACCAAGCTGTCATCATGTTGACAACTTCTAAGATTTTTTTTTTTCTTTTATATTTTAAAAAAAAAAATATATTTTTAGCAATCATTTGTTGATGATGAATATGATATCACAGAACAGCCAGATTTAAGTCTTTTATTTAATTATGCTAAAGAAACAGCTGCGAATCTTTCGGCACCAATAAATGCAAATAAAGGAGCTGAAATACAACAATTAATTATGTCGAAGCCAGATCAATCTTCAGGTTGCCTTACAACAAGTTACAATAAGTATAATCATAATGGAAATGGATTCGAAGAATTTTCTGAAGGTTTAGTTACGTCAGGAAAGGTACGGGATTTAATTAATTTATCTCGTTCTTTCTCATAAAATATTGGTATTTATATATTGTTTAAAAGCGAGGATTTAATGATTCAAGCGTTGATAACCAAACGTTTTCCAATTATAATAATAACAATTGCGAAGACGAGGATGAAGATTTTCAACAAAGTTCATTTATCAGTGCTAAACAACAATTGGTAAATTGGTTAACATAATTTTTAATTTATTTTTTCATGTTTAATTGTTATACTTTTCTATTAGAATGTTAACAATCAAAAAAAAAGATGTCACACACCACAAAACCGACGAGGACAACGTTCTGCTAATAAAAATTATCTACCAGGAACATTCAAAAAGAAATTGCCGTCAAATCAAGATCATAAGTTACCTAAATTCGTGTCTCCGTTGTTAGGAACGAAAATGTATAACGGAAATAAAAATTCGTATGTACGATCAAATAAAACATACTCTTAAGTATAATAAAGTTTACATTTCACTTCTTTTGCTTTATAGTACAAAGCGAAATAAACTCAATCCTAATATTGAAAGTGACGAAGAAAGACTAAAAAATATTGATCCAAAAATGATTGAAATGATACAAAATGAGGTAAAGATATTATTTTACATAATTGGATTCCAAATATAAACTTAATAAATTGTTTAGATCATGGATCGGTCTCCAAATATTACTTGGAATGATATCGCTGGATTAGAACACGCGAAAAAAACGATTCAAGAGGCTGTAACATGGCCATTGTTGAGACCGTAAGTATTCGTATTTTTTTATTTAAAAGAAACTATTAATTAAACAAACAACAAATTTCACGATTTCAGTGACATTTTTACAGGATTAAGGAGTCCACCTAAAGGTTGGCTTAGGAAAAATTGCCGCGTACAATTTATATCTGATTTTTTTTATCTTACAAATTCTTTTATCTAGGGTTATTATTGTTTGGTCCTCCAGGGACGGGTAACAAAACTTAAAATTTTTGAAAAATTTTGATTTTGTAAAATAATAAAAAATTCACCAATCAAAGTACATGTTTAGGGAAGACTTTAATTGGAAAGTGCATTGCTAGGTACTATATTTTCTATCAGAAAGCTTGCGTTAATAGAAATCTTTGGGTAGAAATTGGAATCGATCCAACTCTTGCAGTAATAAATTCCATTCCAATGTTATGTTCACGGATTCATTATAATATCATTTCATTTATTGTTCTTTACAGCGAATCAGGTTCCACATTTTTTAGCATTAGGTTAAGATTTATCATATTGCCTTGAATAATATTTTCAAAGTTGAAATCTCTAATGATCATTTTCATTGTAGCTCCTCATCGTTGACTTCAAAATGGGTTGGAGATGGTGAAAAAATGGTAAGATACGCAAAATATTCTGTTTCAATTTTTTTCTACTTAAATGAAATTTATTCCAGGTTCGAGCTTTGTTCGCGGTTGCAAGAGTAAATCAACCTGCTGTAGTTTTCGTGGATGAAGTAAAGTTGACTTTATAATCTCAATTTGCGCATATGTCGAAACATAGTTAATAATTTATTGATATAATAGATTGATTCGTTACTAACACAAAGGACTGATGGAGAATATGAGTCATCAAGACGGATCAAGACCGAATTTCTTGTTCAATTTGTATGTAATAACGATATATCGCAGTTATTAAAAAAATTTTTTTCCTAAAAATAAAAATAATAATAATAAATGAATACATATTTTAGGACGGTGTTAAAACTGCGAGCTTAGAGGAAGATCGAATTCTTGTTGTTGGTGCAACAAATAGGTTTGAAAGATTGAATTATTCCGTTAACTCGTATGATCCCATCTTTTGACAATTTTTTTTTATTCAATTAGACCACAAGAAATTGATGAAGCAGCGCGTGAGTGATATTAATTCTTTTTAAATTCTTTATATGGTATTTACAAATTTCTATTTATTAATAAGGACGTCGATTTCGTAAGAAACTTTATATTCCTCTACCAGAGAATGAGGGAAGATTTACAATTGTGAAGAATTTGTTATCAAAACAAAAGCATCTTTTAACAGATGAGCAAATCCGTGATATCTGTGGGAAAACAGCGGGTAATGATGATTATTAGATAAAGTTCTCTACGCTAAAAAAATAAAATAAGTATTTGAGTTTATTGGTTTATTTAAATAGGATATTCCGGATCCGATATGGACGGACTTTGTCGAGGTAAAAGCATAATTGTGGTAATGTATGAATTATTTGTAATGTACTTATCAAAATATAATAGAGGCTGCATTGGGACCTATACGCATTATAGGTGATATTAGGACGATTTCAGGTTTGTATGTGCGTCGAGTTATAAATAATCTTAAAAAAATTACTATTAATATATATGTAATATTTAACAAATAGCTGACGAAGTTCGTCCGATAAATTATCAAGATTTTCTAGATGCAATAACTCAAGGTAAAAATTTCATAAGTTGACATTTCAGTACGATAATCATTCGTAATAAAATTTCAAACATTGTTAAAGTACGAGCAAGTGTTAGTGATCGTGACCTGGAATTATATCAAAGATGGAATCAAGAATATGGCAGCTTATCATAAATATAAAATAACCATCATCTGTAGTGAAAAATAAAAATAAGTTTGCAAGTATTAATAATCATTTTTATTGACTATTCTATTTAAAAATTAATTCATAGCAAATCATAACCAAATAAAGTATTTTAATTTAGATTCATAATGAAGAATAAATCGGGACATTATTATATTATTTTACTTAACTTCCAAACTTAGAATATTCGTCAAGTTGCTAACATAAATATGTCATTATTAGCACATCCTTTTTAAAATACGAGATTTTTTTTAGTCCTTATTGAAAGGATGAATATTAAAGAAAGTTGTAATAGGGGCGTCATTTATAATTTTTTTAAATTATAAAATGCTTTCTATAACTGGACAAAAAATTATATATATATTTTTTTTTTTTTACAAAAAATTTCGAGATCATGCCTGCGTTACCTTATGATATTTTTCCAATTGTATTTGAATTTTTACGACAGGATAGAAATACGTTATTTTCATGTTCTCTCATTAATCGTACTATCTGTAGGTTAGCAATCCCATTACTTTGGAAAAATCCGTTCATGAGTAATGATTCATTGGAGGAGATTAATCAATATAAATCAGCCTTGTTAATCCGAACGTATTTGGCGTGTTTAACCGAGGATGAAAGGAGTTATCTAACGAAGAAAGGTGTAGAAATCCGGAAATTTCCAAAGCCATTATTTGATTATGCATGTTTCTTGGAGGAAATGATGCATAGTTGTCCTTTATATAATTCGGTCCTTTGTTGGATTTTATTAGAATATCGAAAGTACACAAAGAATTGCTTGAATGGAATTTCGAATATGTATCAATTTGATGAGAGTGAAATACAAGACCCATTAATTAACTCGTTATATTCCATGTACTTTAAAAAGAGTAAAATCAAAACGTTAGGGATTTCCATCGAGATGCTTAAAATCAAGGATCCCATTGACCAACAACTTTTCAATAAGATGAATCTTTCAACTTTGTCAAATTTATCTCGGTTAATAATATACCTAAAAGATAATTCCTTCGGATTTAAAAGCAATCAACATTCATTTGACTTTTTATTGAGCATAATAAAGAAATGGTGTCATAAGATTCAACATGTTAGGATTTCCAATTTATTGGTATTTGCTCATCAAAAATTACCAAAAATTCAAGAAATTATGAGTCAACAACAAAGGCTCGTAAAACTTGACCTTCTAACTCCAAAACAAAATTTCATAATCGATGATATACTCTTAAATCTGAAAGGTCACGATTATAATTTCTTGACCGAAATGGAAGTGCATGACACCGATCTATCCGATAGTTCTTTATTGGAGGGATTATCAAGTATCGATTCGTTAAAATCATTATACTTGATAAGGTGTAGGGGGATTTCTATGCATAATATTCATATTTTATCCGATTCATCGATTTCATTACTCAAGTTAAAATTTATTAACAATGAATTCCCACCCGGATTAATCATTTCAACCATTGGTAAATCATTGACCGAGTTGATAACCAATCAGTTGGATCAGGAAGCAACTGAATTGCTTTCTTATCATTGTTCCGAATCTTTAACTCACTTGGACATAGTTGGGATTAATTTGCAAACACAAAAGATCTTTTATAATTTAATCGTAAGGTTAAAATTGAATTCCTTAAAGATCAGTTGTTGTAGGGAGTCAACGGGTCAAATTTTAAATGATCTGGGAAAGAATTTACCGAATTCCTTAAAGTATTTGGGCCTCTTTGGATTATATACGTTTAAGGGTCTTACCGTAGAACATTTCGAGAATCTATTGTCAAATTGTAACGCGACTTTGGAATCATTGGAGATTTATGGTACCATTAATCGTAATTTTTTAGTTGTGATCTACGATTACATTAAGAATCATAGAAATTTTAAATCGTTGATCATTAATCTGTACGGTAAAGGATGGGAAGATAAAGAATCATCATTGTTAAAAGATTTTAGCAAATACGGTGTAAAGTCGTTTGTCAATTAATTTTAAAGGTGATATGAAATTTTGGCTTTTCACATGATAATTTGGATTTCGAGAATTCAGATCACCTAATATCCCACGATAGAAGGGGGAAATTGTTGGGGAATAAATTTGGATTTTTTCCGGTAGTCCCTTCTACTGTTATAATTATATATATAATTGTATGTTATTGTTATTTATTTATTTTTTTTCTTTCATGTAAAAACTCCAACATGCTATGGAAATGATGAAACAAAATTTTATAAAACTTGTTTAAAATATTATGTGTGATTTGCATTAGTACTTTATTCAAACGTGTTATCATCATACACCAAAAATTCTCTCGTTATTTACAATTCATATTTCCATCATGTGATGCATTTTCGCAAAAAGAAAACCACATAAAGTATAATTAATTTAATCATCATCGAATGGATGATATGATTACCCGTTTTTGTTTTTCTTTTACTTTTAAGTATGTTTTAGAACCATTCTATCGCCAAAAAAGGTACTCCTTTTATTTTTGTGAATCCAAAAAATTTCTTGATAGATTGACACCTAATACATGTAATCTACCAAAAATTCTTCGATTATTCCTATCCCCTAAACTTGGTTATTCAATTTATCGATCTTAAAATTTATTAAATGGAAAATTCGATACTATTATAATGATAAGGTTGTAAAGTTGTTTTAAAAAAATAAAAATTTTTTTTTTCTTTTTTTTTTTTTTCCTTCTTGAAGAACAAAGAAATATTTTTTTTTCTGTTTTTGTTTTTTTTTACCGCTCGTATAATTTATTTTATTCATCATGTCGGAACATAGACCTGCCGAACGACTTTCACAAGATAGTTCTCAAATTCAAAGTGACATAAGTAATCATACGAGTAATCAAAGTTTCCTTTTAGATGAAAGGCAAAAAAAGGTTCTCTTAGCATTTTGTAATACCATCATCGGAGAACTTGATAAAGAAGAACTTCAAATTTTACTCAACACGAATTCATCAGTTATGCAAAAGAATCCAAAGGTGGTTGAAGCATTTGGTAAATTTGATTTATCAAAGCAAAACGATATCATTGATAGGTTAAATGATCGTTTATTGAAATCCGCTCCCCCTCATAAATTTCGACAAATTGCCTCGATCCTTAAACGTTTGAGTTCCAAAAGTATAATAAATAGTCAAATAATAGGCATCAATAAACCTTTTCATGAATTAACTCAAAAGCAAAGGGAAGCCGCTTTCATAAAATGGAGTACGAGTCAGACCGCTTCAGTTCGAAAGATTTATAAAAGTTTTTCAATGTTAATCTGCGCTACCTTTTGGTTAAATCCTTATGGGTTTAACTCCGCGATTGGGTACCCTGGAACTGATCCCGCGGCGAAAGGTTCAAGGTTCACCTCTCGCAAATTTCCTGATTACGATTTCCTTGAAGTGTCCGAGGAGATCTCGGAAATTAAAGAATTTGACACCGTCATAATCGGGTCAGGAGCTGGTGGAAGTGTCGCCGCCGCCAGGTTGTCCAGATTGGGGTATAAAGTTTTGGTAATTGAGAAAGGTCATCATTATGATCAAAGCGAACTCAAGTTTGAACAGCAAGATGGTTATAATAATTTATATGAACTGTCGGGAGGGATGCTCTCAGAAGATAGCAGTATTTACGTCTTGGCCGGTTCCAACTTTGGTGGTGGTACTACCGTTAGTTGGTCGGCTTCAATGGAACCACAATATTTCGTTCGAGAGGAATGGGCAAAGAAATTCGGTCTTCCTTATTTCATGGAAGATGATTATGGTAATACCATGAAATACATTAATAACAGACTTGGAGTTAATACAAACAACATCACTCATAATGCGAGTAATCAAACCTTGATTGATGGTTGTAAGAAACTTGGTCTTCACTTTGATACCATACCACAAAATGCCGCTTCGATGCCACATCAGTGTGGTTGGTGCTCGTTCGGATGTAAATACGGTGAAAAGCAAACCGCCGTTATGACTTGGTTAAATGAGTCAAAATTGAATAATACCAAATTTTTACAAGATTGTTTTGTTGACAAAATCTTGACCGAAAAGGATGGAAAGAAACAAAAGGTGATCGGTGTTGAAGCGATCGTTAATAACGGAAAACGTATCGTGGTGCACGCTAAACGAGTAATCGTCGCTAGCGGTGCCATTCATTCACCCGCTTTATTATTAAGGAGTGGATTAAAGAATAAAAATATTGGAAAGAATTTACACCTTCATCCAACCGCGGCCGTTTATGGTGTTTTCCCAAATAAAGATATTAAAACTTATTCTGGTACCATCATGTCCGCGATTTCTAACGCGGAAGAAAATGTTGACGGTGAGAATTATGGGGCTAAAATCATTGTCGGATCTCATCATCCCGGTTTCATGTTTGCCAATTTCCCATGGAAATCTACATTACAACATAAACAACTTATGTTGGAATATAATCATATCGTACCTCTTATGATTATTACGCGAGATCGTGATGGTGGAAAAATATTTATCGACTCGGATGGGCAACCAAAATTGGACTATAAACTTTCCCAACATGATTCCAGGAGCATGATTTCTGGTTTACTGGCCGCGATAAAGATCTTGATAGCCGCTGGTGCATCTAAGATTGGAACATGTCAAGCTGGAGTTGAAGATTTTGTCATAGAAGGTGGGGTTAACACATTTAACGATCCAGGATTCAATCAATTCTTGGATAAAGTCAAAAAAGTTGGTGTTCCAGCCAATCAGGCTTGTATTGGAAGTATACATCAAATGGGTTCTTGGTAATTATATAATTATTTATTTGTTTCTTTAAAAAAATTATCATATATATAAATTAATAACGATAATAAAAAAAAAAAAATTGATGTTTCAAGTCGGATGGGAGATGATCCATCCAAGTCCGTAGTAAATCCTTTGGGTGAAACGTGGGAAGTTGAGAATCTCTACGTGGCTGATACCAGCGTATTCCCGACAGCGACAGGAGTACCTCCAATGGTATGTGACAAAAAAATTTATTTTCATTTCCTAAAAAGAAGTTATTAATATTTATTTTATTTACATTTTATCAGTTGACAACAATGAATGTAGCATATTACATTTCAAAATGTATCCTCGACAAGAAAAATTACATTAAAAAGGTATCGAGATCGATGTAGCCGATCGTTTTCACTTATTTTGAAAGAATATTAACCCATCCTCATTTTTATTATAAAATAAATAGAAACGTGGATCGTTTATATCGGGTCATATACCAAAAGGATCAAATTTTGAAATCAAATCAATTGATGAAGGGAGTATCGATTTCTCAGAAAACAATTATACCATTGATTCTGTAATGAAAGACTCTATTTTGAGAGATACACCTAACGAAAATTCTCCCACGTCTAAGAAGGAAAAAAGAAAATCAACAAGAAGATTGTCTTTTAATTCTTTTAGTTTTAAAAAGGATAATTAATTATTTAATCTAATCTTCTGAACGACATTTATAATGATTTATTTATAATATGATTATGTATTTTATGTATTTTAGGGTTTATATTCTACATCTTAATTAGTTATTAAAATAAAGGTTTTTTTTTATCTCATCAAGATGAACAAGCAAATAATAAATAAATCACTTGCAACATTATGTAATGATTTAATGAATCGTGAAAATTTAATTCGTCTCGTAAAAAAAAAATCACAAGAAACACAATGTGCGTACGATATTTATAAATTTTTTTTATCAAAATCTTGAGTACAGCGAGTACGTAATTACGCGCGCGCCTGCTTTTTATAATTAAGTTGTAATAACTAATAGCCAGTAGTAGTAGGTCAGATGAGACAAGACGAATCAAAATTTCAATAACTTTTATTTTTAGTTCTAATACTTATCTTATTGGTCTAACCTTAATAGCGAATGAGGATATTTGTTAATTTGATTGTGAGGCACTCGTTATAATTAATTATACTTTTGGATTACGTAAAAAAACTCTATATTATTAAAATTCCTATTGGATATTGAATGACCACTTTATGGGTGCGAAATTTTCTCGTCGTAAGGCTGGGGAAAAACATATATGTGGCCTGAAAGCCGTGTGGGATACACGAAGAGACAAAAAAAAAATTTATTTGTTTGTAACTGGATAAACCTTTTTTTTTTTTTTTTTTCTCCTCTAAGAAAATTTTTAAATTCGTCAGACATAACATTTTGATTTTCATATTAGGTCTTGATTTTGCTCATTTAAATAAAGTTGTCTGTTGAATGAATATCTTTTTTTTCTTTTTTTTTTTTTAAAAAAAAAAAATAATTATGGTAAGAAATTCCATAGAATAAAAATGGTCTCATATTATATTCCCTTTTTTGTCCTTCATTCTCCTTGTTAAGATCAAAGTTTTTTATTAGATTAAATAATATGTTTACATCTGTATAGTATTATTTATTATTATTTATTATTTATTATTTTTATTATTTATTATTTTTATTTATAAACTAAAAATAGTCAAAAAAAAAAAAAAAAAAAAATTAAATTAGTGAATAATACTATTATAATTCAAATATTTTGAATTCAATATAGAAATTTTACATTCATCATTATATGTAACTTTACATCTTAATAAATTTGTTTACTATCATATTGAAATAACGAAACTCATTTTTATAGAAAAATTTGTATTTATAACAAAAAAAGTCAAAAATTTAATACTAAAAAAAAAAAAAAAAAAATTCGTGAAGAAACCTAAATGATGTCTTGAAGTATATTTGCATTTTAAACAAGATTGATGATACATGATACAAAGAATGTGCGTCAACGCGATTGAGTGAAAAAAAAAATTTACAAGAAAAAAAATGTATATCTGATTTGTGAAGTTAAAAGGATTGATTGATTGATACACCAAGTGCAAAGGGATTGAAAAAGGAAAAAAAAAAATTATTTATAAAGAATAATCAAATATAAACACTTACTAACAAAAATCGCAGAAATTTACAACTACAAACAAATTTATTCTATAACTGTATGTGTACTTTTCTAGAGAAACCATCATGCCTTCCTATTGGTGGCAACACATTTGAATTTTTTTGCTGTTGATGTGATAACGAAGGACTGCCATTAAGGTTAACAGAAGAATACTGAGGTTGCTGGGAAGATGCTGGAACGATAGGTGGTGGTAATAATTGTTGATTCTGTTGTGACATGATTGTATTGTTAAACATATTACCATAACCCGTATTAGATTTACGACATCGTTCAATAACTTCGAACGATGCTGTAATTATTTGGGCGTTAATTATATTATTGGATTTACGTGCATCCAAAATCTACATAATGGTCAAAATTTATTATTTTTAGAAATAACACAACAAGCAGCGAGTGATATTTACCTTCCATTGAACTTCCGCCAATCTAGAGAGTGATTCTTGCATCCTTCTTTGCCATTCCTTTGCAATCCTTGCGTTATCAGAATCAATTCCAAGAACATCATTAACGCGTGGTAGAGACAGCTGCGGTAATTGTTGATTATCCATTTCACTTGTCTCAACTTTCAAGAAAAAAATTAGATCAGGACTTAACAATTGTATATAGCTCGTTTTACACCAACTCAGATCTAATCCCTTAGCAGCAGATGCTGCCATCGCGGAATAAACGTATCGATCCACAATCAAAGTAATACCATTCATGAGTTGATCCTTCATTACCGGCCTAACGAAAATATAAATGAGTTTTAAAACAAAAAAATAATATAAAAATTCTTTACCCTTATCACGTACATTAATTCCCACCAATGAGCTGCAACAAGTAAATGAAGTGTCTTCGGGTTTGGTTGACGATTAGTTGACTGGTATATTTTGAGAGCGTTTCCAGAAGGTGTTGAAGTATCAGGGAATTTGCACAACCTTGCCTTTATACCTTCATTCTTTAAGAACTCATATAATTGATTAGATTGTAATGCAGTACTATCTTCACAACCTTCAAGAACGATCAGTGCTCCGCGTGGTGAAACCGAAGTAGTGGTTGAAGAAGATGATGATAATGATAATGATGATGGAGTCGTAGAAAGAATTGTCGTTGTTGGCTGTTGAGATGATGACATAGATTGTAATTGAGGTGATACCAATGTATGTGGTGGTGGCAATCTTTGTGTAGAAGAGGTAGATGTGGAAAGTTGCTGTGTTGGAAGTCCTAATTTCGCTTTAATCGCTTCAGTTGGCGAAGGTTTCCTTGGGTTATTATTTCCGTTGCGGTCTTAAAATTCGAATTCAAAAAATAAATAATTTTTTTTTTTTTAAAAAAAAATTCATCATTATCATTATTATTAAATCAATTATATTTACAATAAACGCGTATACGTATTTTTACCTAATTTATTTAATTCCTTTGAGCCTCCTTCAATAATGATAACGGACGGATGCTTGAGATTTTCATTATGATCTATTTTTCTATGTGATGGTAATTTCGAAAGTTCAATAACAAAATTATCCATCATGCCCTCTTGTGCACTAAAAGCATCGGATTTTACAGAAGAAGGAGCGCCAGGACCTTTCAACGGTTTTTTAAAAGTAGGCCCAACTACTCTTCTTCTAGGTTGATATTTATAATCAGGCCAAGCCTTCATGTGACGTTCCTTAGCTTCTTCGGCTTTTTTTTTCCATTCACCTTTTTCTTGGTTTGATAAATTTCTCCAATGATCAGCTATAATTCTCGAAATTTCAGAGTTATTTATACCGGGATGTTTATTAAGGATTAAAGGATGGTGATGTTGACGATAAAGGATAAAAGAATTCGGAGGACGAGGAATGTACGGTTTCTTTCTTGTTTGTTTTGTCGTGAAATTTATATTATTATTATTCCCCACAGAAGATGTCGCACCACCCATAGAAGAATTTGTTGGGGAATTTGCACCAGAACACTCATCATCATCAATCATCATTTCATCAAATCCGGAAGAAGTAACAGGTGAAGGAGGTGTAGAATCATTATTGTTAAAATTATTAACCTTAATTATTTCACAGGAATTTCCTTCAGCTAAGGATAAATTTTTTAAATTACATCGTAACCGTTTTGAAGGATCAAAATCACCATTATTATTAATGTCATACTCATCATTGTCATGAACACCTTTCCTTTTCTTTTTAATAAAGGAAGAAGAAGAAGAAGAAGAAGTAGTGGTGGTGGTGGTGGTAGTAGTAGTAGCCGTCGTAGAAGGATTAGGAGTAAAATCAGTATTTTTTGTATTATGAAATTCAACAGTAATGAATTTTTGATTTACATTATTATTCTTATTGTTGTTTGGATTATTATGAGGAGTTTCCGGAACAGGAGAGATTGATCTGCTACTCATTTGCGAAGTTGGATGTGACTTTGGAGAATTGGTATTTATTCGTTGTTCTTCATCATGGTTTATAAGGTTCGAAATGCTAGCAGCTGAACGAGCATTGTCAACCAAAGCATTATTTGCAATCGTAATGGTGGAAGGATCGACGCTATCATCATCGATATCACTTAAAGGACGCGATTGAGGGGTCGGGGTTGAAGGTAATGAAGATGGTGAGGAAGAATTTTGAGTTTCATCCAATTCGTTCCCATTATTAACGGTTGCAACAGGAGATGAGGAAATAATTGGGGAATTCGAAGAGATTTTTTGCGCAGTAGAGTCTGTAGAAATCATTTTTTTTTTTTTTTTTTTTTGACCTTTACCATGCAAAATAATATGAAATACTTTTTAATACCCTTTTTATTTTTTTTTTTATTTTTTATATATTTTTTTTTTTAAAAGAAAAAAAAAAAGAGAGATAAAAAGATTGTATTATTGCGATCGTAGATATATATATGTAAAGGAAGAAGTTGGCACATAAATTTATTAGTGATACAATGTTATTTATTATTTTTTTTTTTAAAAAAAACAAAACGAATAAAGAAATAGAAAAGAAAAAGAAAAAAAAAAAAAAAAAAAAGGTTGAAGGGGGAAGTAAAAAAGCAAAAAAATCAAACAATTATTATAACGAAGAAGTATTGTTCTTTTTATAAAGAATAAGAAAGTGACGACATATCATTAATTCACGAAATCAATGAATACTAATTCAAACTTCATCAATAAAACCGAATTAATAAACATGAATGATGATTCAAACGCAACAAGGGGGGAAACAATAGCGGATATTAAGGAATAAACCAGGACATCAATAATTGTAACAACATACCTCAAGTTTACAAAATAAAGAACATTGATATATTGTGATATTAATTGATCGGAAAAGAAAAAAGAAGCGAAAAGCGGAGTTACAAACAGTGAAGGAAATGGGGCATACGATTATCAAATAAGGTTATAACAAGGCATACAAATTCTTTGTTAAGTCCGCAAACAAAAGAAGCAATAAATTAAAAAATTTTTCATAAAATTTCCATGAATAAAAAAAAGGGGGGAAAAAACACACACGGGCTTTTTGAAGACACGACGTATTTATATAAAAAAAAA